AATCGCCCCAAGGATTTCGGCGGTGGAGCCTCGTTCGACTATGACGACGGCGACGGCGACGGCGACTGCGACTTCGGCACGATGATTTTCAAAACTGATCGGAGTAACCGTGGCCGTCCTACGGCTCCTGCCGGAGTTTTCCCGGTCGCCGCCGTTGGCTGAGCCGTTCTGGTTCTTGCTTGCACCTCCGTTTCTTCCAGAGGGTTTGCTTCCTTCGTAGTCAACTGCAAGAGAATCTAAGAAGTTTCAAACGTTTTTCCATGATCAAACGAATGGAGAAAGCAAAAAGGTTCCATCTTTGATGACCATACGAACCGAAAAGGTTCGGCCTCTAATCCCAAGTATTAGCCGGATGGATCGGAATAAGGGGTGTTAAAACGAAAAGAGAGAAGCTTGCCTTGTTTTTCCTTAACCCGAAGCTTTCGGTCTCCGAGCACGAAAGGAGAATCCTTGGCAGCCTGTGATTCAAAACGGTAGAAATCACGGATCAGAATTCCGAAACTTTTTCGGAAGAAAAACTGTAACATGCCATGGAGATTCACTGAAGGAAAGCTTATATTGTACCTGAAGAACGCTTTGGACAGAGCTAGCGGATTCAAAAGCAACAAACCCGAAACAGATTCCACTACTCTGGACACAGAAAAGAAGATTATTCCGCATCTCTCGCGAGGGGAAGATGACGATTTAAGAGTCTAAGCACAAAAAGTAATCGAGGAACAAACCCTAGAGCTTCGAACTTGGATCCCGTTCTCTTTTATGGGACCAAAATCCTTGAACATTCCATGGAGATCAGCAGGCATTGCATTCATTGGCAGATTCGCCACAAATATCGAAGTACCTGAAAACCCCAGAAGAAAAAAGAACGAGCCTTTGAGGGAATCCACACACACACAAAAAAAGCGAGGGAACAAACGAATCGGTTTTAAAAGCAATGGCCTAGCCATTCGGGTTCTGACCTGGTTCTTCGATAATCTTTTGGTCATTCTTTTTCTCAGAGTTCATGACAGAACCAGATGATTGAGGAACTGCAGCTGCTCTTGTCTGTCTCACGGGTTTTGGCTTTTGAACTGGAGATTTAAACGGAGCGGCGTTTCGTGCCATCGATTGAACCTATTTTCACAAGCATTGTAATAAGTATATACAAATGACAAAAACACATGTCAAGAAACGGTCGGAAAGGTGAACGGAACTTACTATTGCGGCAAACGATCTCTTGGCTGCATCAGACTGTTCTGCCTTGGGAGCAACTGCTTCAGCCACTGGTTCTGTCTGTTTTTCAGCAGTCACAGCTTTTCCATCCGACTTCTCGACCGTTCCATTTTCCAAAGGAGTGATTTCTGCTGCATTCTCAGAATTTTCTACAGAAGCATCGGATTCTTGAATCGGGTTCGTCTGATTTATCTCTTCGGCTGACTTTGCCATCTCATTCACTGGCACTGCAGTAGAAAACCCGAAAAGATTCCCTGAGAAAATTTAGAAAAAGCAGAATTTAATAACACATGATCATAGACGTAGACAGCTTACTGGATTCGGGAAAAGACAAAGCTGCTTGGGCAGGGGCGGAGGCCTCGTCCTCGCCAACATAACGGAGTATGTCATTGAGGACGACATAGACATTGTTTTGACGTGCGAGATAGAACGACTGAGAGAACTTCTTCCGGAGTTTGTCTTTTCCAGTGACGAAACCGATAACCATTATAAATATCCCACTCTCGGATGAATTCTGAGAATCGACGCTCACCACCTCGAAGGTGGCGTTCTTATAGTCGCATGAAAGGATCTGCTCGTTGATCGCCTGCGCAAAGACAGATTAACAATGAGAATTCAGTGACTTTGATCTCAATCACTGGATCAGACACAAATCATCGAGAGCACGTGGAAATCGACAATTCGGTAAATCAGCTTCCAGACAAAGGATCTGGTCTGAGAAAACTTAGATATAGATCAGTTATCTTATCATCAATCTAAAGGTAACATGGCCAAGAATGTTCTGATGTCACAAAACCGATTGAAACGAAGAACACAGTTGATTCTCTATCATTAATCCCATTAATTAGCAACTGGGGAAGACAATTCAACACAGAACAACTGTTCGTAACCCATTACGAGGGTATGTTACCTCGAGGGAAGTAAAAGACATCATCGTTCCATCCGGACCTGGTCGGCTGACGACACTGTCACTGACGTACAACCTGCGAGCTTCCTCGGGCAACTGCTCGAGAATATGGAAGTACTGCTTCACGAATGCATCGGAAACCTCGTTGGCTGGATGATTTCCTTCCTCCGAAGCCATAGCTGCCCTGTGACGAACACGCGCGGAACCAGAGATTGAGGGAAAGGGAGAGAGAAAAAAACTTCAATAAACTCGGGAAAACCCTAGATCAAAAACACCGGCAAAATTATTCGACCCAGAACTCAATTTGGAAACACGAATCCGATCAGGCGTGGCCCAGTTCGAATTCGAGTTCGGGGGATCGAAATTAAAGATCGAGCCGCGAAAACCTGACGGAGAAAGATCGGGAGGAATGCTCCTCTGCTGCTGCTGAGGCAAAAAAACAAAAAAGGAGAGAACTTTATAGAACAATTAGGGTTTTAGAGTGATTTTACAAGAAAGGGCAATGGAAATATACTCAATCGCCCCCAGTCGTAGATTCGATTCCTTCGGAGAACACAAAGTGTTGTAATTCTTGTTTGACCAGGAGACTTCTCTGCTCATTCGTTGACTTTTATTTACTCTCCACCACGGTAAAAAAAAGTTTACCTTTTTATACATGATGATGATGATAAGATAAATATATCATATTAAAAAAACTCTCTTCATATCAATTTATAGAATATGTTACAATTTCTGAATCTTACAAAATCAATATCTTCTGTATAAAAAAAATATGAATTAAGATCTTTTTCAAATAAAGATCTGACTAGTTTGTATCTGTTTTTATTTATTTGATGTGATATATTTGTGATCAATCATATAAAATTAATTGATTAGTTGAAAAAAAGAAAGATCTATATGTTAGCATATCTTTATATATTCATAAACATACTTATTAGTATCCCTATATATATATATTTTTTTTGTTTTCATAGTTTTATAAATTGGATATATACAATAATTCGGAGAATATTCTTTATTTTTTTTTTCAGATTCTAGTATGGTATCATAGTCTTAAAAAATCATGTGATCATGTTTTCCTATAAACGCTAAGTTTTATGAGAGATAATTAGTTTGTACGAGATTTATTATTATTATTAGAAAAAATCCCAAAAACAAATACTAACTTTTCAATTTAAAAAAACACTTAAATTTTTTTTTTTAAATACTAAATTTTTTTATAATACCTAATTCGACGAGTGTTCAATTAAACAACTCATGATGTAAAAAAAAATTTCACATCAGGTTTACAAAATTATTTAGTATTTTTCTCAGATTTTATTTTGACAAAATTAAAAAGTTCGTGTGTTTTTTTTCTATTATTATTATTATTATTATTATTATTATTATTATTATTATTAATTTCGTCACATCTCCTATTCCCAATATATTTGTATAAATTATAAAAATACGTATAGAGAGAGAGAAAGCACTTAGAAAGCCTTACCCTAGTTGACCGACGTCATCACTGTCGGAGCCTCGGCCGAATCCACCGGAAATACGCCGGAATCGTCGACATCACGAGCGCTTCTCCAACTCCTCCTCTCCTAGCCGCGAATTAGTGCCCCCAAGAGAGAGAGAGAGAGAGAGAGAGTTCAGTTTCACTACAGAAGGTTGGAGATGCCAGCAATGGCGCAGGGAGAGCTCAATAGCCCCGCCCAAAGCCGCAAACCTAATCCCAAGTCTCCGATTCACTCTTTTGCCAGGTTCGCCGCCGTGTTTTCTTCTCGAGTTACCGGAAAAATTAGGGTTAGGCGGTAATAATCTGTGAATTTGATTGGATGCTTGCAGGAGGCAAAAGATCGCGGAACATAGAAAGTCTCTTCCAATTGCTTCAGGTAATAATTGATTGGCTTATTACATTGTTCGATTCTGTCGTTTCAATCTTATGTCTTTTATCGTCCAGCGAAACAGAGGAAGAAACTAAACTCAGTTTATGTCGTTTTCGAACTTCAGTGGAGAAAAGGCTGATTGAGGAGGTCAAGAAGAACGATATTCTGATTATTGTTGGTGAAACCGGAAGCGGCAAAACAACTCGTATGTTAATGTGCTTCCTCTCTAGGTTTTTTTTTTTTTTGTAACATAATGGTGATTCTCAGGTTAGCTAAACTTTGTGTGTGTTTTTCTTTCAATTTTCTGGCATGAAGAGTTGCCTCAGTTCCTATACAATGGTGGGTTCTGTCGGGAGGGAAAGGTGATAGGGGTAACACAACCGAGACGTGTGGCTGCTGTCACGGTTGCTAAGAGGGTAGCTGAAGAATGTGGTGTCGAGTTAGGGCAAAAGGTCGGATATTCCATCAGGTTCGATGACACAACTTCCAGTTCAACAAGGATCAAGTACATGACTGATGGACTATTGTTGAGGTAAACCGGCCCATCATTGTTCTAATATTACGTTTCCTGCTACCAAGTTTGTTGCTTTGGGTCATCATCATATATGATGTAGTTTTAGCTATAAGCTAAAGGTCTGTCCTTTCTGTGTTTTTAGATCCTATCAATCTCTCATCTAATGAAACATAAAACCTGCTGCTGAAATTCGCAGGGAAGCGCTGTTGGATCCTTGCCTTTCGAGATACTCGGTCATTGTTGTTGATGAAGCCCATGAGAGGACTGTTCATACTGACGTTTTGCTAGCCTTGCTGAAAAAGGTGCACCGGGCAAGGTCAAAGCCTGCAAATGAGAATGGAAACGAGAGAGACGGACAGAAAAACGATGTATTAAAGGGGTGTCAAGGCAGGAAACTATCTCCTTTGAAGCTGATCGTTATGTCTGCCAGTTTGGATGCACGTGTTTTCTCCGCCTATTTCGGAGGTGCCAGAGCTGTTCATGTCCAAGGTCGACAGTTCCCTGTTGACATACTCTATACCATTCATCCCGAATCAGATTATATAGATGCAGCCTTGGTCACCATATTTCAGGTTTGCTTATTTCGTTTAATATACCTCTCCCTTCAATTCGGCATATATGTAGTTAATAACCAATCCGGCATATGGCGTGTGATTCTTAGATCCATTTGGAGGAGGGTCCAGGTGATATACTCGTTTTCTTCACCGGGCAAGAAGAGATTGAATCCGTTGAGAGGCTTGTCCAAGAAAGACTTCAGCATTTACCCGAAGCCAACCGGAAGCTACTGGCAGTTCCCATCTTTTCCGCTCTGCCATCGGAGCAGCAGATGCGAGCTTTTGCCCCGGCTCCGGAAGGGTTTCGTAAGGTCCGAGATAATGCAGTTACTGTTTTCTTATGTTTGTTGGCTCGGTTAAAAGGTTGAGATGATATTAATCGTATCGAGGTTTTTCCGGGATTCAGGCTATTTTGGCTACGAATATCGCCGAGACTTCTGTTACGATTCCTGGAATCAAGTACGTGATAGACCCCGGGTTTGTAAAAGCACGGAACTATGATCCAACCAAAGGGATGGAATCATTAGTTGTTGTTCCGACATCAAAAGCACAAGCTCTACAAAGGAGGTATACCCTATTCTATAGTCAAATCAAATTTCATCTTGTTCAGGTTGGTTGGATGAGAATGGTTGACAAGAATCTGGAACAACCTATTTCCATTTTTCCGGTTTCTGTCTTTTCCTACTTCAGTGGACGTGCTGGACGTGAGGGACCTGGGAAGTGCTTCCGTCTATATCCGGAGCGAGAATTTGAAAAGCTGGAGAATTCAACCAAGCCGGAAATCAAGCGGTGCAATCTCTCTAATGTGATTTTGCAGCTTAAGGCTCTGGGTATTGATGATATCATCGGGTTTGATTTCATAGATAAGCCTTCAAGGTAACCATATAAACCCTTAACCTTTCGGTCTATCGACAAAGTTTTGACACATGCCCGAAAATTTCATTCTAACTTGTTGATTGAGTTTGGTCTGCTCTGGTTAAAACAGGTCGGCGATTGAAAAATCATTGGAACAGCTGTGGTTGCTGGGCGCGTTGACACGTGATTGTAAATTGGAGGATCCGGTTGGACACCAGATGGCACGGCTACCATTGGATCCTATTTATTCGAAAGCTTTAATCATGGCTAACCAATTCAATTGCCTCGAAGAAATGCTGATCACTGTAGCAATGCTGTCTGTTGAATCAATATTCTATGACCCTCGTGATCGAAAAGACGAGGTGAGTATCTTACAGGACATACAGAAAACTATGATTTCTGTAACATGATACAGTTGTCGAAAAACATTATGCTAAATCTTTGGTCTTCGATAGGCGAGAACAGCGATGAAGCATTTTACCAACATCGAGGGAGACCACCTAACTTATGTGAACGTCTATCGAGAATCCAACGAGCTTTTGGAGAAGAGAAAGAAGGCGGACAGTGGTGTGACCAAAACCGACAAAGTTTTGAAGAAATGGTGTAAGGAAAACTTTGTGAATAACAGATCTTTGAACCACGCTCGAGATGTTTTCAGGTCGGATTTCCTCCCTTTGCATTACACATATACATAAATAATCAAACCGAGCTGAATTGGATACTTGTCTTGTTGCAGGCAAATCCGGGGGCATGTCGAGCAGATGGGTTTTCACGTGTCGTCCTGCGGAGACGATACACTCGAGTTTCGCAGGTGTCTTACCGCATCGTTTTTCCTCAACGCTGCCTTGAGACAACCCGACGGTACATACAGGTATATATAGATATATATATATATGTATGTATATATATACATATACGTTATCTATTGGAAACAAACACTGGAATAAACGGTTCAACAACACTGATTAAACAGGGCATTGGCGAGTGGCGAAACGGTCCATATCCACCCAACGTCGGTACTGTTCAGGGGAAAGCCAGAGTGTGTAATCTTCAACGAGCTGATGCAAACCAGCAAGAAGTACATCCGGAACATAACGAGAATAGATTCCTCGTGGTTGATCGAGCTCGCTCCCCATTATTACTCCTCGAACCCGTGAATCCTTTTGTCACGTCCGTTCTATCGCAATCGAGGTAAGGGTGTATTGTATCTGTCTGTGTTATCTGTTTCAAACGTTTTGGCCGACACAACAACAGAGAAGGTCATTGTCATGTGTCTTATATCTTGTCTTTTGTCTTGTTTGATGAATTGTTGCAGACTTGAAAGCCAGAGCCAGAGCCAGAGCCAGAGCCATGAACTGGTTTTACTTGTTGGGTCCTCTCTCTTGTGCAGACAAGAGGTTTTGTTTCTTCTGTTGAGGCATGGAATTAAAACATGTTCAGTAAGAGGGGAGCTCAGGTCGGGTACCCGGATTTTGTAGTAATTAGTCCCAGGTTTCGGGGTATTATCTCGATTCCGATCTTGGATACCTGCGGTGCGGGTACCTGTAGCTGTAGCTGAAGTCGGATCCCCGTGTTGACTCTTTGACTTTAGGAGGGGTTTTTTGGTAATTTGGTATATAAACGTTGTGTTAATTTTATCGGCGTATAATTGTTGTGGTTCGGAAGAATCTGAATCTGAATCCGCCAATTAAAGAATATTTTTTTGTTACTAAATAGACATCTTTTGCAGATTTTTTTAGATGTTTTTTTAAAATCTTATTTTATTTTTAATTAAAAATATCCAATTTATGTTCTAAGGAGGTACATATAATTTTTTTTTAAAATTTTTTGGAAAAAACCTAAAACGACATTTGTTATTGAATTGGTAATCACATTACGGTATCGTTTTTGGAATTCCAAAAAGTTGAAAAGAAAATTAGTTGGATTAAACCAGTGATTACCACAAAGCGTTATCATCAGTTTCAAAGAAAAGCGCAAAACGACACCGCGTTCACTCGACAGTGCCAGATCAGCATTAGCTTGCAATCTCCCCACTTTAATTTCCAAACCGGTAATTACTATTTCCACTCTTACTCCCTCCGAAGATTCGCTCTGGAAGAAGCAAAATATCGGCGTGGAGATATCAATTCCTGTTTTGAAATTTAGATTTCTACATCAACCCCCCTCCTTTTCGCCTGTACATTTTTATTTTACATCAACCTTCTTGCTTTCTCTCTCGCTTGGCTCCTCCTCGCTCGCTCCTTCTCCGATCACTAGATCTGACCCCCGATCGTCGCAGGTAAATCTCGATGGCGAGCCCTAGGACGTGTGCTCTCGATCGATTCTTCTGCGTGTTTGTTGTTCTTTCGGGTTGAAATCGTTGTCGGCAAAGTTGAATCGGTGTACTTGCGTTGTTTTCTCTTTGAGAAATGATGCGTGTGTTTGCTTTTCGAGATAGATTCTTCGCTTCCTTCCTTGAGTTTTTACTCGGTTGATTTATATGTTGTTTGCTAGCCCGATTCGTCGTCTGCTGTTGATCTCAAAACTGTAGCGATGGATGGGGCTTAGCTATCGAAACTTTCACGTGATGTTGGGGGGGGGGGGGGGGGGG